GTACTAGTATGTTAACCTATTACTGCACGCATCATCACATATATCACCACATCATACAATTCTTAGGCTAATATACATCATAACTTTATATCATACAAGTGTAATACAAAAAGTATATGTAATTCTAGTTGGCAACCTAAAATACTATACATTTACATCTATGTACATAGACTCAAAACATAAATAGGGCATTACAAAAGATAGCTAATTTGTTATTCCTTGCTCGTCTCTTTAACTTACGCTCTATTGTCTCAGAACCTCAACCCTTTTGACGCCAAAAGGGTTACTTATGGCCAATATATGCTCCTACTGTGTCTTTAACCTCAACAAGGCTCCACCTACTAAGATATAAGAGTTTGAAGGTTCAAGCTAGCTTCCAAGATCACCACCACATTTGCCCCTAGTAGAGCCTTTCTCTTCTTCCTTTAAGCTTTCACCAAAACCTAACTTCTCTTCTATTCTCTTTACTAGATCATGCACTTATTAAGTTTGAATAATTTACTAATTTTCAATAAATAATAATTAAGTTCTATATTAGAAATTTAAGATGTTACATTAGGAACTGAGTCACCCGGCCAAAGGTAAGTCAATTCAAGTGACAAGCCACGTATTAGGTCTAATGAGGATTTACCATGTGGTAAATAAACTTCAAACAAAATCCTCAACAACACATGTTTCTAGCATATATATTTCAAACATATCCAAACAATTTCATATTTCCAAACAATAATATTGTACCAAACATAATGCTCATAAGCAATTCAATCCACTTGGCAATTAACATTCCAAACAAAAATATATTATCTTCGAACAAATATAATTTGCCAAACAATAAAATCACACATAATCAAACACACCCCTATCACACATTAATAATAATTACCTTATTGCTTAGTGAACAAGTTCCCTTCACAACATCACTTCCACCATACTCTTTGTCCACACAATCTGCACAATTTTTTTTCATAATACATAAATATAAATTTGAAGTTGAAATCAACAAACAACTCTAATTATAGAGTTAGGAATTCTAGGCTAAGTGATTGTGTTGAACTAGTGTAAATCTCTTATGTCAAGCTTCTTCTTCTTTAAACTTCATTTGCATTAAAAGCTCTTTGTGTGAAACTTTGTTTTAATTAACATAATCTTTGTTTTCTGTCAAGAAAAAGTTTGTGAAAATTTTATATAACACCCAATTCAGTTCTTTTTAGGTGGCTAGCTTATTTAACAAATAAATAGACTTTGAATGTTATATAAAGTTTCTATTATAAATTTTATTTGGATAACTTATAAATTTCCTCTACTTCAAGTGTAAATCACAAGAACTATGTGAAATAAGCGGACAATGTATTGTTACTAAATGGATTGTAAATATTATTTATGGAGTTTCTATTTGTAATTATCATGTGGGTAACATGTAAATTTTCTCTCATACAACAAGATTAAATCACGTGAACTTTGTGAAATAAAAGGATATTTTATTATTAATAAATGGACTTTAAATTTTATTTATGAATTATGTATTTCACAAAGAGGCAATTGCATTTTTTCATCAAAAAAGTTAATTACAAGAAAGGCCTTGAGCATAGGATGCACAGATACTGATATGTATATTGAATATGATACGTATCCGATACGTCGATACTTTCATTTTTTTAAAACATGAGATATGATATGTTTTTGAAACGTGTATATATATTTATAAAAATATTAAAAATATAATTTTATTTTAAAAAATATTCAAATTGGCATATATATATATATATAGTCCTTTATAATAATACCAAATACAATATAATTATTAATTGTATTTTTATTTTACCTATACTTAATTGCCTATCACCTAATCCCTATCAATAGGTATAGTATCAATATTTCCTCCTCCTCAACCACCATAAGATTACATTTTCACATTTTTATAATTAAGAAAAATGTAATATTTATTCTTTTATTACATCAAAAACTTATTTTTTAAGGAAAATATAATTTTTGACTTTAAAAGCAAATCAAAAAATGATATTAGTAATAAAAAATTTAATATTGCAAGTTTTAATAAATTTAATAAATTTAATTTTTAGTTTTCAAGTATCTATTAGCAATCTAGAAGTATTAGATACATATAAAAATTAATATTTTTTAAATTAAAAAATATTATTTCAATATTTTATGGATACGTATCGAAGAAGTATTGGTGAGTATCAATATTGAATACGATATCGATATAGATACGTGAGGCAATTTGAAGTATAAGTATTTCATAGCTTTAGGCCTACCAAATTATTTCAAATTCTACTGAACCTTTAATGTAACTATGTTGGTTCTGAGGTCTATAATGCAATTCTCCTTAAAATAAATTGATACATTTATTTAGTTTAGTTAATGCCAGTTTTTTAATATTGAAAAGTAATATATAATAAACACAAATTCTCAAACGTTCTAGAGAAACCATGCACCCCAAGTATCTGCGCGCCCATTGTTATAATTTTACTGCGGTCGGAGTGGCATGAAATTCAAGCCTTCTATATTTATAAATCAACTATGTATATATAATATCATATACTTTTCATATTTTTTTTCTTAATAGAGTTAGAAAAGTCATTCAAAATCTAGTATAAAAATGGGAGAATTACATTCAAGGATGTGATAACTTATTTGTAAATAGGGACTAATATGGAGTATGACGAGTATAAAAAAAAGACTTGGATCGTGTCAAAGAATTGAATTTCAACGAGCAGTGAGCATTTTTTTGTATTTTCAAATGTGGATTAATTTATTCAATTATTTAGCCTATATGATGAGAGTATTGCTCAAGTAACCTTTTTTATGTTGTATTTTATATACTCAATGTGCGGTTGTTGAGTTGATAGAAATACCCCAAGAGAAAAACATTTTTTTTTTTGAATGAATACCATGCAAAACAACGGAGAATCTAAAGTCAACTAAAATAGTCCATAAATTATATTACATATAATTTTTTAATATAAGTTAATTTAATATCTCCCATAACCCCTTAGTGCAAAGAACAGACAAACTGAGGTCTATGATTCAGAAATATAGATCAGTTGTTAATCATAGTCATAAAATCAAGTGTCCAACATTTTTTAACAAAAGGAAAAAAATACATCATTTCATGGGAATGTTTTAAGGGTTTAGAAGATAAAGATACTCTCTCTATTTAAAAATGTAAGGTATTTTTAATAGAATCTCACCCCCAATAAAATAATTACCTACTTTTAAACTAACCCTATCTTTTCATATTTACCCTTATTTAATACCCTATAATAAATATAAAGACATTCATTAATAGGGGCGGTTTTGAAAAAAAAAGTAATGATTACACCTCAAAAGATACCATGCGTGGCAATTCATAGAGTTCACGCGTGATTTGTTACATGTACATATTTGGAACAAGCCAAATGCAATTTCACCCGTGATTCTGTTAGTCACTCACAAGAAATTGCACCAACGGATAGAATTACTGTTCCAACAGTCAATTATCTACCAAAACTATATATGTGATTCATTTTGAGCCAGAACGAGAACTAATCATCCTTGAGTGAACTAATCTTTATTTGAGCATTTGAAAAATTTTTAAATTGTGCTTTTACATCTTGCATTCATTCATTATTCTTGAAAAGAATTATGAAAAGCTCTCACTAGTTTATAAACTTTTAGTTGTAATTCTATCTACTCTTTAAGAGAGTTTTTTTTTTGCAAAAGTTTATTTTATTCTTTAAAAATATTAAAAATATATTTTTCAAGTGTTTATAACAACTTGCTTGATTGTAGCAAGGGTTGTTAAGTGATTCAAGACAAGTTAAGTCTTGAGAGTTGTACTGTGGTGGCAAACACCCATTGAAACTTGTGAATTTAGTTGAAAATATTAAGTGTAATCTTAAGAATTGGATGTAGGCCGAGTTTGAGGCTGAACCAGTATAAATCTTGTGTGGCTTATCTTTTTCCTTCGTACTTAAGTTCTTCACTCTTTTATGTTTTTAGAAGTTTTTAAGTGTAACCCAATTCACCCCCCTCTCTTGGGTGCTAGCCTATCCTAACATAAATAAATATAAGCAACAAACTATTTTATTTATAATTTATTATTATGCATAAATGAAAATTCTGAAAATAAAAAAAAAATCATTGCGTTGCATCCTTCTAATTTTTGTAAATTTAATTTATAATTTTATTGCAGACTCCATACAAACTTTTTTACTACAAATTCCATATTTATCATTCATTTTTTTTAATTGGAGGTCTCAAATGTAATTTTTTTTTATTTTTAGATGCTCGCTGTCATGTTTTTAATGAACATATACAAATAAAAAAGAAAAAAAGAAAATGTCGTATAGGTCCCCATCTAACGGTATCTACTATAGATTATAGAAGATATAAATATAGATTAGATTATAGGTTCTAAAGTTGTGAAGCCAAAGTGATGACCTTCTTGAAGCATCAATTGAACGGGATTTGTCATGTTATGTTATTTATTTATTTTAGCCAAAATTTAACGGATTTGGGTATCCAAAGTCCAGAACACTGAACACTATGTCATGGTACCCGGACCTGAGAACGAACAATTGAATGAAAATATAAAATCTATATTTGAAATGACAAAGTTCTCCTTGAAATTTTCTAAACATTATGCCAATTCTAATAATAGTTTTTTATTGATTGTTCATATGTATTCTTCTACTACAGCCAATTTTATTTGAAGTACAATTGATACTAAATAAGATTATATCTTCTAATTTAAACCATAATTTATCATGAAAGATTAATTCTCCATAGTTTGCCAAACCCAATCCCGTTGATAATTCTAAAAAGTTATACAATCAACTCAACTTCAAAATAAATTTAGTCAGGTCCATCAAGCTGTCTATTTTGACTTCTATAGTAGTCTAATTAATAATGAGGAAATTCTTTGACCAAGTCTCTTTTCAAAGTCTTTCTACTAGCAAGAAGAAAATTCTCTTTCCTCTTGATGCTACAAATTAACACGAACCTCATCCAAATTAAACAAACAGAAAATCAAGACCCATAACCACACATTCCTTTTCATTCCCGGAATTCTCTCTTTGGAGAGATTACAGAATCATGGCAAGTTTTGGAACGACCCAGAGAATTCCAAACTCATCAGAACCACCTTCTTCTTCATCTACCGAGGAGCCCTATGAACCAAAAGCATCCCATGAAAAGCAGTTCAGAGAATTCAACTTTTACTGTCCTCTCAACATTCCATTAACCCCAGAAGCTGCAGCTCTTCGGATCATCAGAAACTTGGGCAATTTAGGGTTATATTACACACTTTTTGTGTGGATCATACTCTTCATAACCCTGATCCCTCAAAGAAAAGTTTCCTTGATTCTTCTGGTTATCATGAGCTATGTTACAACGTTGTACTTGCTACTATTAAAGGCATACCCTAATTCTTACCTCCTTCACAGAGTTTTAGACAAAAGGTTTGTTTTGGCTTTACTTGCAATTGCGACTATGGTTCAACTTATTGTAACAAGCGCAGGGATTCATCTGGGTGTGACTTTAGCATGTTCTGTGCCTATTGTTTTGCTTCATGCTGTTTTGTGGATTAGTCATCAAGAGATTATTTCTGAGAACTGTTTTGAGGCTTCTGGTGTTGCAGAACTTGCTCTTCTTTCTGATAGAATAAAAAATGGAGGAGAGGGCCCAGATATGGCGTGATTTTTTCTATATACATGGATACTTTTCTAATGTTTATGTTGGTTTTGAATTTTGAGTAATAAATTGAATACTCAGATTCTCCTCTGAGCAGCTTGTACTTGTATTGAAGTGATGGAGTTAATTTGTTATTGTTAAGAATATTGGACGCATGATTTCACTGCTGTGATTAACAATTGAATTATTTTGGAAAAATTGATGCACTAAAAGATGATGTTCATGAGGAAATTGTGTAACTAAAAAAATGATGTTGATGGACTATTATTCTATTTGACTTGAGAATATTCTCGGTTGATTTGTACAGTCAAAACACAGTTATGGGTTGAGAGAATACGCACTTTCACTTTCACTTTCACATGTCCTCTGGATTGTGTGAATCTTGCAAGAGATGGGAGACATGCACAGTACATAATTTGAAAGGATTATGTATAAACTTATTTATAAATAAATTTTACAAAATTCATAAACTACTGTCAAGTCTCAATAGACTTGAATGTAATTTGTGATTACAGTACAAAAATAATATTATCTCTATTAATTTAGCCTTCATTTACAACTAAAACTTTATAATTTATAAGTAAAATTTTTTAATTCAAAGTCAAATTTTTTATTTAATGATTGATATAACATGAAGCAACAGCTGCCCCCACTTAAACCATGAATTCCTCTTAATTATGATAAGGGAAATTTTCCCTTGGCCCTTCTAAAAAATTGTCAATTTACCCCTTAAAAATTTGCTCTTGCTTCACTTAAGTTTTTTAAAATTCCAATCTTCACTGCTTCAACATTTTCTCAATCATTCAACCAAGAAAGTTAATACTATTTATATTGTTAATTTTGTAGGAGGTAGAAATATTAATGTTTGAGTAATTAATAAAAATATTGATTTGTATTATGAAATTAAGTATAAGAATACAATAAATATTATAAAATATTTTTTCAACTTCTCAAATAAAATATTCAGTAATACTTAATATCTAGAAGATAATACAATTATACTCCATCCGTTAAAAAATGTAAAGTATTTTTTGAGGAATTAGATATTCACAAATATAAAGCATTTTTAGTCTTCCAAGATATAATTATTATCTTTTTTCAAAAGTACCCCTGTTGAATAAATCACTTTATATTATTTTAAAGGTTTAATAGGAGTAAATATAGAAAGATAGAATTAGTTTAAAAATAAGTAATTATTTTATTGGGAGCTAAGATTCAGTTAAAAATGGTTTACATTTTTTAATAGAGAGAGTATTTTTTATTTTTAATTTCTTTCTTTTTTTTGTGAATGTGGGCAAAGCCCTACTTTATTCCATCACTAAAACTCCTCTTGAGTGAACAACACCGGAAGAGTCATTACATAGTAAACCTTGTAAAGGATCATGAGGACCTCATAAACGAATAAATAAAAAATCATGTGAAAAACTGTAATTGGCAAGCCAGTCCGCACACTAGTTGCCTTCCCTATATGCATGACAAAAAAAAAATATTTCTAAAGAAATCAAGAACTCTACATATATCATCAAGAAATATATTACCAAATTTCTTTTCTACCCAAGCATCTTTCAGTGTTGATAAGACAACAGCCAAATCTCCTTCAATGATTAGATTTTTCACTAACAGCTCCTTCACCAACCTTACAGCCCAAAGAATGCCTCATAATTCAGCATTTACAGCAGAACAATCACTAATTTCCTTAAAAAATCCAGCCACCCAATCTCCATGATCATTCCTCAACAAACCACCACACACAACCATATTTTTGCTACTCTTAGCCGCACCATCAAAATTCAATTTAAACCACCTGAAGGGAGGACAGGACCATCTAACATCAATAATAGTTTTTCTAAACATAACGGATAATCCACCACACATCAAATTATCCAATTCCCAGACATAATGTTTTATAATGCTTGTAGGGTTCTCAAGCATCACAAAAGCAGAATCAAATAAGGCTTTATTACGCCAACACCATTGCGCCAAGTAGTCACAGGAAAAATTTTACTCCAATAAGATCTACCCTTCATATTTACATCAATTCAATCACACAAGTTAAGTCGGAACAAATTTGAATTTACCTCATATCTATTGAGTTGAAGGCATGTAAATTTTGCTTTTTCATACTCATAGATAGCATGGAGAATATCCTCCACTCCTTGCACACATATGCAACAATTAGGAGAATCCCCTAATAATCTTGCTCTTGCCATATAAGATAGTAATCTTTCATGCCTTAGAAGCCACAAAAAACTTGAATTCTTTTTGGACCCTTCGAACTCCATAAAACATCCCAGCCCTTATAACATACATCTACCTAGTTCACTGTAAGTCTATGATACATATTAGAAATATAGAAATTATTATGAGTTGCTCCCCTCTATCTGATACAATCAAAACCATAGACTAGTTTTGGGGTTTTTACTACTCGAAGCTTCATTAAAACCTCCTTAGGTAAGTAATCCTTAAGATAAAGAAGTTCCCAAATCTTGTGCTTCATTCACTATATCACTAACCTTGCACTCTAATAAACTCGCTTTAGGTCTCCTAAAACAAACATCAAGGAGCCTTTCATCATTACCCAACCATAAATCCTTTCAAAAATTAATGTTGTTACCATCCCTATATTCCCAAGCTACTATAGTCACAAGATCAGGCCAGCATTTACCAAGGAATTTCCAAAACAAAGAATCTGAGTCTTTTTCTTGGCATTCCTTAAATAGATTTACACCACGCTCATATTTACCTTGAGGAACATTAGAATAAAGACTATTAGGATAGCAAGAATATTCCAACCAACCTTACATATCAAATCTTCATTCATCTTAGTTAAATCACGCAAACCCATGCCACCATATCTTTTAGGCTTACACATGATATCCTAACTAACAGCATGAATTTTCTTTTTCCCTTCAAAGGAACCCCAAATAAAATCATGTTGTAATTTTGTAATTTCAACACAAACACCCACAGGAATATGACTATGTTGCATAGTAAAAATAGGAATATGAGAGGTTACTATTTATACCAAAGTGATCATACCAAGAAGCAAAAGATTTTGCTTATTCTTCCACCCAGACAACTTATCATGCACTTTATTAATCAAATACTAAAATTTATTTCTTGTTACTCTACCATGAGTAATAAAAGGCCCCAGGTTGAGTCCAAGCTCATCTTTGCACTAGAACCACAAATATGATAGAGTATATTCTGTAATTCTCTTGATACATTCTTCAAGAAATATACATTAGCTTTCTCTTTATTTACCTTCTAACCTGATATGTTTCCAAACAACTCCAAGCACTCCATTACATTACACAACTGGCCTACATCCGCTTCATAAAAAAGTAAAAAATCATCTACAAAAAGTAGATGAGAGATAAGAATCTTACTCTTACCCACTTTCATTGGTTTCCACCTTTTATCGTTAACAACATCAGAAGTTATATGAGATAGTTTATCCATAGCTAAAACAAATAGATAAGGAAAAAGGGGATCTCCTTGTCGCACCCCTCTTGTAGGTCCAAACCACTCCCCTTTTCCCTATTCCAATTCATAGCCATTTTCACCGATTTCATATAGAAACTAATAATATTAATAATATGTTCAGCTAAACTAATCTTTTAGCACACCAATTATAATGCCACAGTTCATATCATCATAAGCCTTCTTAAGATCAATTTTAATTGCCATGTATCCCTTTTTTCTATTTATCCTACTTATCATGTGAGCTAGTTCTTTTGCCAAAATTATATTATCATGTATGTTATAGCCAAGTATAAAACTAGCTTGAAAGGGAGAAACTAACTTGTCCAGTACACTTTTCAACCTATGCACCAGAATCTTGGTAACCCCCTTATAGAAAACATTACACAAAGCAATTGGGCGAAAATGCCCTACAGATTCAAGATGATCAATTTTTGGAATCATTACCAATAAGGTTTTGTTAATTTCACTTAACCTTAAAGGCTCGTCCCAATATTTCTAATAAATTCCATCACACTAGGCCCTGCTACTTCCCAATTATAATGATAAAAAATAGCAAGGTAACCAACCTCGCTTGGCACCTTAAAAGCTCCCATAGAACGAAAAGCAAGCTTAATTTCTTCATTTGAGATAGGCCTGCTAACATGCTACATCAAATCAAAATTAACATCACCCTATTGTTGATTAGTGACATGCCATTCTCTATCCATAATTTCTTTACTAAAAAAATCTTAGTAGTACTTACAATAATATTGCCAATCACCACCTCATCTGAAACCCACACCCCTTCATTATTTTTTATCACACTAACTTTGTTTCTTCTTCTTCGAATAACTGTTTTCATATGGTAATATTTTATGTTTCTATTACCATATTATATCCATTACCTTCTTGATTTTTGGAACCATAAAATTTCCTCTTGTAATAATACTTCATTTGTAATGACCCTAAAATTTAAATTAAATAAATTTCCTTCCAATTGATATTTATTTATTTATTATAATTTTTTTAACAAATGAAGAGTAGTGACTTAGTGGAATTTATACTGGTTATATATATAGAGGTCTAAAGTTTGAACCTTTAGCCAAATGTTAGTTTTATTTTTATTTATATGGAAAAGTACTAAAGAGTCCTTACTTTATAGAAATATTATAATAATAAAAATTTGATAGGGTCTTCTTTTGAAATTTTCCCAACTAGCTTTGGGTCTTGTTTTGTAATATTCTCCATCAGCTTTTTATTTGACTCTCTAACTTCTTCTTAGTCAGTCTGTGTGGTATTTTTTTCTATTTTCGTCTCCTTTTTCCCAATCATGTTTTGGAACTAGAGAAGTCTGGAAGTTAACCTATTTTCTCCTGCCTTCTCCTTCTTCCCCCACCATCTCCAAGTGCTGTCGGTGTATTTGTGAGAGAGTTCCAGCCATTGCTGCATGGGCTTCAAATCATAATTTCTCCTTCTGATCTTTCTTCAATCTTGTTCTAGGTTGTAGAGAGGGCCAAAGATTAAAACTCATATGTGTCTTCTCCAACCTTTGTTCATGGTTCAGACCACTACCGATAAGTGCTTAGGCGTGCTTCATCGTTGCTTAGTCTTTAATCATCTAAACTAAGACCCAATTATTCTCCCTTGTTTTTCATCCAGGTCATGCATGTGTGGCTGGTGAGAGCCTCGATCTTCTCCCTTTTTTTGCCTGGCGCTGGA